GGAAGAGACCTCATGGGCCATCCAGTCCAACCCCATTCTGCCAAGAAGCAGGAATATTGCATTCAAATCAGCAGCGTTTATCTCTTTGTGCATCCCTTCCCTCTTTCTCCTCCTCTTCCTTTTAACCCATTCTTAAACTTCTCCTTCTTTGTGAAATTCACTTTCCTGGTCCCATCAACACGACCTTTTGAGCTTCATTCCTTCTATCCTTGCAGCCTCTAAGCCTCAGGTCCAGCGGGAGCCGCCCTCCAGCCAGCTCTTCGATGCTGAATTTTCGGAGTCTCAAGGTTCCAGTCCTCAAGGTTTGGCCAGGACTGCAACCAGCCCGAGACGGAGCCAGGCGGACCCCGAGGCGGATGAGGACTGCATGGTCCCCCTTCGCCCTGTCAAGAAGCGGCAGCGGCTGCTCAGCCAGAGACTCACGAGAGAAGAGGGGGAGCCGATATCCGCGGCGCCTTCTGAATATGCGGCGGCCATGCGAGGGGTGGGCAGCGCCCTCTCCCGGGGTCCGCCAGGTTCTGATCGCCCCGCCAAACCCTCCCCTGCCCCAGCACTCATTCCGACAGAAGAATACGTGGATGACGACTGGCTGGAAGACGACCTGGGAGTGAATGCCGTCTCACGCAAACGCGGCCGGCAGAGTCCATTGGGCTCTGCCTGCGAGGAAATCCTTGAGGAGGAAGAGGAGGAGGGCGAGAGCGACGTCGGACCCCCTTGTGCGGCCCCCAAGGCCCCCAGGAAGAGGAGGAAAGCCAGGCAAGCGCGCCTCACCCTGATGGTGGGCAGGACACCCGTGGGGAGGGTCCGGGGGGTCAACGTGGTGGGCAGCACAGACACAACGGCCGGCACTTCGCACAGCCAAGTAGAGAGGGTGCAATCCGGAGGAGAAAGCCTACCATCTGCATTTGCGCCGGTGAGTTTTCAGCATGCACATGATTTCATATCATAGTATTAATTTATTGTTAGATTTTACTGATGATGTTGTACAATGTTTCAAAATTTATTTATTTTATTTATTTATCGTGTCATCAGCAAGCAGACATTTGTATTACATTTTTAACAAAAACAAACAGACAAAACACAGAATTTGCAAGCTTGGTAGTTGATTAAATGTCCTTTGACCAGTATCTGGCCCCTTGGAGTGCCTCTGGCGTTGCTGCAAGAAGGTCCTCCCTTGTGCATGTGGCAGGGCTCAGGTTGCATTGCAGCAGGTGGTCAGTGGCTTGCTCTTCTCCGCACTCGCATGTCGTGGATTCCACTTTGTGGCCCCATTTCTTGAGGTTGGCTCTGCATCTCGTGGTGACAGAGCACAGTTTGTTCAGCGCCTTCCACGTCGCCCCGTCTTCTGTGTGCCCAGGGGGGAGTCTCTCATTTGGGATCAGGTTCTGGGTTTGAGCCTGCCACTTTTGGACTCTCGCTTGCTGGGGTGTTCCAGCGAGTGTCTCTGTAGATCTTAGAAAACTATTTCTTGATTTAAGATGTTGACGTGCTGGCTGATACCCAAACAAGGGATGAGCTGGAGATGTCTCTGCCTTGGTCCTTTCACTATTGGCTGCTACTACCCAGCGGATGTCAGGTGGTGCGATACCGGCTAGACAGTGTAGTTTCTCCAGTGGTGTAGGGGCGCAGACACCCTGTGATAATGCGGCATGTCTTATTCAGAGCCACATCCACTGTTTTAGCGTGGTGGGATGTGTTCCACACTGGGCATGCGTACTCGGCAGCAGAGTAGCACAGCGCAAGGGCAGATGTCTTCACTGTGTCTGGTTGTGATCCCCAGGTTGTGCCAGTCAGCTTTCGTATGATATTGTTTCTAGCACCCACTTTTTGCTTGATGTTCAGGCTGTGCTTCTTGTAGGTGTTTTAAAATGATTTTATTGTGAATTGTAATTTTTATGGTATTTATGCTGTTAGCATCCTCTGATGCTCATGTGAGGCCGCGCTGAGTCCCCCTCGTGGGGAGAAGGGCGGGAATAGAAATATAGGAAATTGTCGAAAGCTTTCATTACCGGAATCACTGGGTTGTTGTAGGTTTTTCTGGGCTATATGGCCATGTTCCATAGGCATTCTCTCCTGACGTTTCGCCTGCATCTATGGGAAGCATCCTCAGAGGTAGTGAGGTCTGTTGGAAGTAGGAAAAAGGGTTTATATATCTGTGGAATGGCCAGGGTGGGATAAAGATCTCTTGTCTGTTGGAGCTAGGTGCGAATGTTTCAACTGACCACCTTGATTATGTCAGAGTTCAGACGATGCCCAGCGGAAGGAATGCTAGATCAGCAGACACTGAGTTGCAAAATAAGGACTCTGCAGGCTTTGAGTTACAAAAGAAACTAAGTTTACTAAGCACATACATCAGACACGTCTTACTACAGCGAGCTACAATTCAGGAACTAGTCAAAACGAAAGCCTCTTCACATCTGCTTATCTTTTCTTGCTGAGACTGGCTACTCCCTTCTGTTCCCAGCAAGAGCAAACCTTATCTTACTTTTCTCAAGTTCACTTAATCACAGCCTCATGCGTAAACATTCTGCACAGTATTTCTAATTCACAGTGGCATCCATATTTACAATACATAGAAGCACATTTAAAACACATACATAACTAAATTAATCCTGACAAATTAGCATTTGATGGCCTTGCAGTGCCTGGGGCAATCTTTTGTTGGGAGGTGATTAGATGCCCCAGATTGTTTCCTCTCTGTTGTTTTGCTTTCGTAATTTTAGAGTTTTTTAATACTGGTAGCGTGGCCAAAAGAACCTTTGTCTGTTTTACTATGTTTATTCTATTTGTGTATGAATTTTCTGCTGTTAGCCGGCCTGAGTCCCTCTTCGGAGGTTGAGAAGACCGGGTTATAAAAGCTCTAAATAAATAAATATTAAATAAATATTTTAAGCAAGCGCCAATGTTGTAAGCTTGAATAGCATTGAGTAGCCATGAAACTGCAAAGTCAATGAGTGAAGTTGTCTGCATAGAGGTAGCCTGGCCTTTGTTGCCTGGAGGCATCCTCTGCTTGGGAGGCGTTAACTGGCACTTGACTGCCTGCAGAACTTCTGAAGGTGCCATTAACCAGAGATGTAGGCAAAACGTTAGAAGAGAATGCTGCTGGAACATGGCCATACAGCCCGAAAAACTCACAGAAAAAAAATATTAAACTGTAATGCCAGCAAATGATAGATCAATTTCTTGTGTCTGTTTCCCTCTCTCTTCAAAAGGCCTCCACGAAATGTCCCACGGTGGGATTCCTTCTGCAGCCCGGTCCCTCACCTTGTCTTCTCTCTCCGCAGGTCCCGGCTCCCCCGCCTCCAATCCGAGTGCGGGTTCGGGTGCAAGACAACATCTTCTTGATTCCTGTGCCACACGGGTAAGCTGGTTAATTGCGGAATCCCAGGCAGATCCATCCGTGTTGCTTTGAGTGAACTCAACACAGGTTGCCCTTCATCACCCTGGAGAGAAGGAACTTCCGCTTTAGCGATGTATTCCAGCACAGAAGGGGATTGGGCCAGGGGGCCCCTTTGGGTCCTTTTTGACTCTTAGGATCCAAAAGGATTAGATCACCCTCTGAGTTTTCTCTCTGTGTTGTTCACTGTCACTGGGTGGAGGAAATTTGTGTCAGGTAGATAATTTACATTATTTATCGTGTCAGGAGCAACCAGACAGTTGTATTACATTTTTAACAAAACAAACAAACAAAGCACAAGGTTTGCAAGCTTGGTAGTTGATTCAATGTCCTTTGACCAGTATCTGGCCCCTTGGAGGTCCTCCCTTGTGCATGTGGCAGGGCTCAGGTTGCATTGCAGCGGGCGGTCTCTGGTTTGCTCTTCTCCCCACTCGCATGTCGTGGATTCCACTTTGTGGCCCCATTTCTTGAGGTTGGCTCTGCATCTCGTGGTGCCAGAGCGCAGTCTGTTCAGCGCCTTCCAAGTCTTCTGTGTGCCCAGGGGGAGTCTCTCATTGGGTATCAGCCATTGATTGAGGCTCTGGGTTTGAGCCTGCCACTTTTGGACTCTCGCTTGCTGGGATGTTCCAGCGAGTGTCTCTGTAGATCTTAGGAAACTATTTCTTGATTTAAGTCGTTGACGTGCTGGCTGAGACCCAAACAAGGGATGAGCTGGAGATGTCTCTGCCTTGGTCCTTTCATTATTGGCTGCTACTTCCTGGCGGATGTCAGGTGGTGCAATACCGGCTAAGCAGTGTAATTTCTCCAGTGGTGTCAGGCCCAGACATCCCGTGATAATGTGGCATGTCTCATTAAGAGCCACATCCACTGTTTTAGCGTGGTGAGATGTGTTCCACACTGGGCATGCGTACTCAGCAGCAGAGTAGCACAGCGCAAGGGCAGATGTCTTCACTGTGTCTGGTTGTGATCCCCAGGTTGTGCCAGTCAGCTTTCATATGATATTGTTTCTGGCACCCACTTTTTGTTTGATGTTCAGGCAGTGCTTCTTGTAGGTAAGAGCACGGTCCAGGGCAACTCCCAGGTATTTGGGTGCGCTGCAATGCTCCCGTGGGATTCCTTCCCAGGTAATCATCCTCAGAGCTTGGGATGCTTGTCTGTTCTTCAGGTGAAAGGCACATGTCTGTGTTTCAGATGGATCAGGAATCAGCTGGTTTTCCCTGTAACAGGCAGTAAGAGCAACTAGAGCTCGAAATGCATTGTCTGTAAATTCCATTGTGTGTGAAAAATACAGTTCTAATGGACATGTGGTCACAGCACATTCCAATGAAGATTTGAGTAAGTGGAGATGTTGAACCAGAGGGACATGACCCTGCCCTTCCTTCGTATTGCAGCGACCACGAGGGCCGCCCGGTGTCCTGGCTGGCGGAGCAGGCCTCCCAGCGCTACTACCAGGCTTGCGGGCTCCTTCCGCTCCTGACCCTGAAGAAAGAGGGGGCCCTCCTCGCCCCCCAGGACCGCATTGTGGACGTCTTGCAAAGCAACGAGGAGGTGAGCAGTTGCTGGGAAGCAGAAGGCCTTGTCTGAGTTTCAGGTGCAGAAGGATTCGAGAAGGATTGCCACGAGAAAGAAGCATGGGGCATGAGGATGAGTAGGGGGGCGAGATGGAAGGCCAAGGGCCCTCAGATGTGTGACTGTCATGAATATTTTTTATACAAGGGTTCTTTACATTGCATTTTCAGTGAGAGAGTATAGCAGAGCAACGTTGGATTGGCTGGTGACTGCTGGAAGAGCATTTTAGTTTTCTTGATGTTTAATGACAGGCTGAGCTTCTCGTATACTTCTGCAAAGGTGTTTAGAGTGGCTTTAAAGATCTTTTTCTGAATGTGCACAGATGACATTGTCATCAGCATACTGGAGTTCTATAACAGATGTTGTTGTAACCTTGGTTTTGGCTTTCAGTCTGCTGAGGTTAAACAGCTTGCCATCTGTCCAATAGATGATTTCGGCAAACATACTATGCCGGGACATGAATTAACATAAGAAAGTGCATGCCAAGAAGAAAAGGATGATGTGCTTGGATATTTAAATATTTATTTATTTATTTCCCAGTTTTCTATACCGAGCTTCTCAACCTCATTGAGGGACTCAGCCCGGTTTCC